AAAAAAAAAAAAAAAAAAAAAAAATATTTGATATATATTATATATTGTTATTGTATATTTTATATATTATATTATTATTATATATTATATATTATATATTATATATTATATTAATATATATATCATAATTACAATATATTTTAATACCGTTTATAACATTTTTTACGAGTAGTATACCAAGGGTGTAATATATATTTAATAAATATAAAATTAATATTATAATTATAATTTATATTAATATAATATATGTAATAATAATATAATATATAAAACATACAATATCAATATATAATAATATATCAAATATTTTTTCAACCTCTCTGGAATTGTTATAAGCCATTGGTAATAGCTTATAAACGATATCAAACGTTATTTGAATCTAAACCGTGGAAATTCGAAACGTTGCTACATAGTCACGTTCGGTTTCGTACGACGAGATATTTCGTCGTACCCGATTGAGCGTTAAAAACGTCGAAAGTTCGAGCAATTCCGCAGATCTTGAAAGACTGCTCGCTGTAATTCGTTTTAGTACAACGTCTCGGAGTTTGAGCAGGATATTTACGTTTGCTCTTTTTGCAGAGCAACTACTTCGACTGCGACGACGATTGCGGGGACGCGAGAACGGAATTGGCTGCGGGCACTCCTATTCTACTGGACCACGCTTTGTCGCATCCGCTGACATGTTCCATACAGTAGCAGCCGACCGTCGCGTAAACATTCCGAAATCGGCCCACTGTTAGCCCGCTCCGCCGCATCCACGAGCCATAAAAGAGGAAAAGCCTTCGAGACGAAGCGGATAGATAGATAGATAAAAAGAGAGAGAGAGAGAGAGCGCGCGCTAGCGATCAAGAAAGAGAGAGAGAGGAAAAGAGGAGAGAGGTTCGACGCGTGCGCTTCGATCCCGAGTAAAACGCTTCAACGGAGATCCACGCGAAGAGCGTGTGTCAAAAGGCGAGCCGTGTCGACAAAGAGGATCTACAAAAGAGGAGAGCACAAGCAGCAGCAGCAGCAGCAACAACAGCAGCGAGAGGACACACCTCGACAAAACGAACGTGGAACGCCGAAGACTTGCACGACGGTCTTGATTCATGCTCCATTGACCACCAACCCTCGAGCTTCTTCCTGCGGTCTTGATTAGATTGATTGCGTTTCTCGACGAACAAGCTCGACCCATGTGTTCAGTTCGATGCACGCTGCCGGCGTTCCCAAATGTTTCCTCGGGATAAATCAATGATCGAAAAGAAGCGGATCCGATTCACCGGGAACCGAAAACGTTTCTTCTTCCACGGTCCTCTTGCTCCCCCCCATCTCCCCTCGTCTCACCGCTTTAGATCGTGTTTTATTAGACTTCGAACAATGTTCTCGGCGTGTTTTTCCCCGCCTCGGAACCAAAGTTTCGGCCACGTTCGGCAACGTTCCGCTGGCAGCGTGCGCGCACCAGCGACAATTTCCTTCGAGAACTCTGTACAAAATTCTCTAACGAACCGTTTCTACTCGAATACCGTTCAGTTTGACAACTTTGTTGTCCAGTTTGTTGCCGTGCATTTCCCGATCATTCGCCGCGTAAAAAAGAAAAAACAGTACAATGAACAACGGGGCTTGCTGTCGACCAGCGTGTAATTTACGGACAATATCAGCGGCGCGAGCGACTCTCAATCGTTCGATGTAATTATGCTACCCGTACGTAACGACGCTGAAAATGAATCGCGTGCGAAATCTTCCGCGGATCTACGGTATCGCCGCCGGTCGCGGAATCCGGCGGCGAGAACAATTCGGCAGAGGGGACGCGCCGGTCTCCCGCGCCGTTTCCACATGGTCATCCGAACGCCCTAAAATCATAATTACATCGTTCATAGAACGCGAGGGACAGGATTCGCTTAGGGTCGCCTGGCTCGAGTAAATCGGACGAATTTATCGACGCGGTCCGCGCACGCCAAGGAACGCGCGACGGTCGCGCGTCTAATTTCGAATTACATAATTAGCGGTAACGATCGCTTTGCTGGGCGACAGTCGAATGGTTTGTCGGGACGCGACGATTCTATATTATACAATTATATACATAAATTATCGAACGTTTTATTATCATTCGTTGCTATGGTTACCATTATTGCCGGACCGCGGATCTTCTGCGAGTATGGGAAAGATCAGCGGCCGAAATATCCGCGCCGACGAAAATTATGAAACTTGTTACGCAGATGCGTATGCTTGTCTGTAGTAAATCTTCTTAGTATGAAGCAAAAATTTGTATCGTGTCGACGAATATGTTCATTTGTTCTTTTTACAATTTTTTTATCTCATACTTCGTTTTTCTTCTTTTTTTGTTTGTATTACTTTTTTGATTGTCGGACGCGCCGAGTAAGACATTATTGCGATATAAACAATCTGTAAAGCGCTTCACTGTAATATGTACTTTTAACTTTATGAGACGTGTGTTTGGTAAAATGTCGAATTTTAAATTAATTAAATTAATTTAAATTAATTTTAAATTATCGAATGTTGACGATACGCGAAGTTTATTAACTTTCGTCGGTATGTGTGTGTATTGGAAGAACAGATCTGTAACGTTTTAGCAAAAATACGTTCTCGTCTAGTTTGATAGAATAGGGGAATCTTCAGTTTGCACGAAGGTCCGCGGTCTAATTATTGCCCTTACTTGATTAAGTGTCTAGTAAGGCGTGTTGTTGGACGATATGAGCTCGCGAGATACAGAAACGACCAGATGGCAATGGATAAGAGAATTGCAAAGAAAGAAAGAAAGAGAGAGAGAGAGAGAGAGAGAGATTTATTGCGGTAGGAGTGTAATGTTATATAAATATATTATATTTATAATATGTATAGAGAGAGAAAGAGAGATGTTGTCGGATATACGTATATGTTGAGTATATGTGTGCGATTGAGTTTTATAAAACTAACCTTGCGTTAAGTGTTCTGGGTTCAGTTAATAACGCGTTGACTGCCGCATCGATTCTCCTGACGGAGGACATCATTAATTTTAATGAGGTCACGAAGTTACCTTTTCGAACTTCGCGGCTCGGTTAACGGGATTAAGCGTTCTTTGCTTCTGCGTCCCATTCGAGCATTGTGTTACCTTTGAACGGGCTCAACAAAGTTGCNTAAAAAAGAAAAAACAGTACAATGAACAACGGGGCTTGCTGTCGACCAGCGTGTAATTTACGGACAATATCAGCGGCGCGAGCGACTCTCAATCGTTCGATGTAATTATGCTACCCGTACGTAACGACGCTGAAAATGAATCGCGTGCGAAATCTTCCGCGGATCTACGGTATCGCCGCCGGTCGCGGAATCCGGCGGCGAGAACAATTCGGCAGAGGGGACGCGCCGGTCTCCCGCGCCGTTTCCACATGGTCATCCGAACGCCCTAAAATCATAATTACATCGTTCATAGAACGCGAGGGACAGGATTCGCTTAGGGTCGCCTGGCTCGAGTAAATCGGACGAATTTATCGACGCGGTCCGCGCACGCCAAGGAACGCGCGACGGTCGCGCGTCTAATTTCGAATTACATAATTAGCGGTAACGATCGCTTTGCTGGGCGACAGTCGAATGGTTTGTCGGGACGCGACGATTCTATATTATACAATTATATACATAAATTATCGAACGTTTTATTATCATTCGTTGCTATGGTTACCATTATTGCCGGACCGCGGATCTTCTGCGAGTATGGGAAAGATCAGCGGCCGAAATATCCGCGCCGACGAAAATTATGAAACTTGTTACGCAGATGCGTATGCTTGTCTGTAGTAAATCTTCTTAGTATGAAGCAAAAATTTGTATCGTGTCGACGAATATGTTCATTTGTTCTTTTTACAATTTTTTTATCTCATACTTCGTTTTTCTTCTTTTTTTGTTTGTATTACTTTTTTGATTGTCGGACGCGCCGAGTAAGACATTATTGCGATATAAACAATCTGTAAAGCGCTTCACTGTAATATGTACTTTTAACTTTATGAGACGTGTGTTTGGTAAAATGTCGAATTTTAAATTAATTAAATTAATTTAAATTAATTTTAAATTATCGAATGTTGACGATACGCGAAGTTTATTAACTTTCGTCGGTATGTGTGTGTATTGGAAGAACAGATCTGTAACGTTTTAGCAAAAATACGTTCTCGTCTAGTTTGATAGAATAGGGGAATCTTCAGTTTGCACGAAGGTCCGCGGTCTAATTATTGCCCTTACTTGATTAAGTGTCTAGTAAGGCGTGTTGTTGGACGATATGAGCTCGCGAGATACAGAAACGACCAGATGGCAATGGATAAGAGAATTGCAAAGAAAGAAAGAAAGAGAGAGAGAGAGAGAGAGAGAGATTTATTGCGGTAGGAGTGTAATGTTATATAAATATATTATATTTATAATATGTATAGAGAGAGAAAGAGAGATGTTGTCGGATATACGTATATGTTGAGTATATGTGTGCGATTGAGTTTTATAAAACTAACCTTGCGTTAAGTGTTCTGGGTTCAGTTAATAACGCGTTGACTGCCGCATCGATTCTCCTGACGGAGGACATCATTAATTTTAATGAGGTCACGAAGTTACCTTTTCGAACTTCGCGGCTCGGTTAACGGGATTAAGCGTTCTTTGCTTCTGCGTCCCATTCGAGCATTGTGTTACCTTTGAACGGGCTCAACAAAGTTGCNTCCCCCCCCCCCCCCCCCCGTGTCACTCTTTATACTACTTCTTCCGACCCGTGAGAGCTATCCAAAAATATCGTTGCGAAAAGAAGAAGCTTTAAAAGATTATCATCGTGTCAGCGAGAATGCCATTTTCGCCACATTTTTCGTCGTTGTTGCTAAATTCGTCGAGCAATCCTTGGCTGCGAATCATTTGGTCGGCGCGTACGAGATCTCGGATTTTATTTACCTGCAAATTTTTGTCCCGTTGCTCATCCGATGCTGTTGTTTACGACGTTGCTCTTTTTACAGTCTCGTCGCGTGCCGCCAGCGTTACGTTTCTGCCGAGCAGAATTTCGTCAAAACTCTACATTTCTCCAATTTATTTTGCGTTTCGTACGAGAATGAATACCGCGGATATCCGTGTAATTCTCTCGCGTGAACATAAAGCTGAAAATAACGCTGCAACGTCCACCACGCGGCATAAATCAAGCACGGTGAACGAAAGAAAAGCGCAGCGTTGGTTCGAAAAATTTCGCTCCGGCGATCCCGGTCTACGAAACGAGCCCCGTGGAGCGCTCAAAACGTCCGCGGACGGATACGAGATTTTTACTATTCGCTCAAGTGTCCGCGGCTTCGTGCGCGCCGACCTAATATTTCCTAAAAACCCGTGAAATTAACGAGTCGGCGCGGAACGTCACCTACGACAGAGCAGCTAACGAATCCGCACGACCAAAAAGAAATAATTTCCGTTTCACGCGGCCTTTCCCGGCGCCGCTAAGTAATCCTCGACGTTAACGAAGTGCTGAATCTAATTAGGCGAACATTAATTGATTGCTCAAACTCTGCTGGGTCTGCCGTCGCGCAGCGTTCCTCGTCCTTTCAGACTGTCGGAGTGATCGAAGAGAAATGGAAAAGATAATTTCATTTGTTCCTCCATCTGTCTTCAATGAATCGTAATACCAATCCACGCTGTTCCGCGGACAGAGCACGTGGTAATAGTCGAGCGAGGGCTGATCGTTGAAGGTCGCGGAACGCTGTTCATCCCCAAAGCATCGTTCCTAAACAGCTGAACGATGCGAAACTGCGGATGGGAGAACTTTGAACAATCGGCGAATCTCCTGGTTCAACTATAGTTCGGAGGATTTTTTTAAGACAACGCAATACATATATACGGAGTATACCTGTGCCAATCGTAGAGATATTATCGCGTATACGCTAGTGCGACAGTCAACGCAGGAACAGTCTAAACGATAAACTATAAACGACGTAACGATAAACGAAGCTAGGCCTGAGTTACATAATGAATCGTGGGTGGACTGAGTCGCGACGAGAGCGAGAACGAAACGTGCGAAAGGTCGGAGAGAAAGTGGAACGACGGAACGTGTCTGTGAATGAATAATGAACGGGGCGGGGAGGGACGAGGAGGCGTAGCGTTTACGGTGTAAATCTGTTAATTAAAAGATGGAGGAGACTCGCGTTCATGGATGCAAGTGCCAAACTAAAGTTTAACCGTGCGAGGCTCGTAAGCATAGTTGATTAACCAATCGCAGACGAACTGCACCGGCAGACCAAAGACGGCAAATCCGCTCTGTTCAATGAGAAAAGCAAAATTACACGGAGAGAAAGAGAACAAACACAATAAACGGAAATCGAATCGTTCGAGCGATCTTCCAGCGATCTTCCAGCGATCGTCTAGCGATCGCGATCGAATCGGAGATATTTCTGAAATCCGATCTAACGCGCGAGGACGAATCGATCGATCTCTGGTCCTCGTGGATCTCGTCTGCGATCGAGACGTCTCTCCTTCGAGTATCTAGATTACAATACCGATGGTGATACGGCCGAGGATCCAGTTAGTTTTGTTAATCTTTTTAATCTTGTTACACGAACACGTTACTGTCTATCGTGACATACCTTGTTGCTAAGCTTGCCGTGATCAAGGATCGATCGATCGGTCAATGGACCGGTCGGATGCATGCGTGAGAGAGAGAGAGAGATAGGAGTCCCCCGCAGGCGTTCCGAATCGAGTTTTATACGTTTACGGCGACGAATTCAAAGCTTTTTTATCCCTCGTCGTATTACGGTGTACACACGCGTGCAGGACAAAATCGATGCACACAAGCACGCGCACGAAAGAGAGCGCGAAGGACGCAGTGCTCTTTGATTCTTCCAGCTTCGGTGCTGTCCCGACGTGATCGCGATGCTCCTTGCATCCTAGTGTTCCGGGGAAACTCTGTCGATTGTCCCCGTTTCGCCCTAATTGAACGCTTTCCATTCTGAAATCTACGGCCTCTCGATGATCGCTATCGTTCCTGGAACAAGGTCCCTAGAAATCAGGGTGAAAACATCCCCCGAAGTCTAGTGACTTTATCGAGATCCCACCGCGGGAACGTTCTTTCAACAATAACAACGCGAATCGTTGAGACACGTACCCTTTCCTTCTCGTCGCAATCGACGGTGTTTTTACGCATTCGCGGCAAGAACCGACAGGTGCCTGGCAAATTATGGACGCTTCGCGAACTCGTCGAAATTGTCGGTGATCGAAAGAGATTTCCAAACGGCGCTTGTTTCTTGCAAATCGATGCGGCAAATCTCGATGACCGGACAGCACCGCGGCTCAAGCTCGTTCGCAACGTTACTTTTCTACAACGAGGCATGTAATCGACTCTCTCGAACGCGACGAATCGACGCGTTGCATTCTCTAGTTTCGAATCGAACCATGCGAAACGCGGCGGATGGCTGGTTTCAAGGAAACGAAAGGGTTCGCGACGCGATTGGAAACGGTGCCGCGCGGCGTGTCGATTCGTCCCGCGTCTAGGGACTTTGAGTTAACGAAATATCGCTGCCAATTTTTCTTGGACGTTCTCATTAGAAACGACGCCGGTAGAACGATATTCTGTTCGCGATACTGTTCACGATCGACAGCGTCCGACGCGGTAATATGGAACACTGTACCTATACGATGGTTTTTTCATTGTAAACGTTCTTCGCTCGTCTGCCCGACGGAGAAACGAGGAGAACCGTAGCGACGTGTTTGTATAATCAGAGCATTATTACCGATGTTATTACGTGTAGATAGAAAAGAAAACGGAAGTAAACGATCTTTAATCTGTTAGTTGGGGAGCGGAAGAGAGTCAACGAAATGACACAGACTGATTGACGATCATATACAATAGAGCTGTTCCGTTTGATCAGGTGCGTGTACGCGCATTCGTTTCGTGCCAATATTATTGTTAGACTGCGAGTCAAAGTCTGATTACCAGGTAATTTCAGTGTTGTTGGTCGACAGTCTGCGACCCTTTGCCCAACCACCCCGCCTGTTGTTACGTTTAGGTAGCATTTCCGACTCTCTTGCGCTTCGAAGAGTCAGCGGCCAATCGATTTCTAGGGGCGATCGTCGCATCGAATTGGCTTTCTCTCATCGACGAAAGTAAACGCGCAATTAATTACATTTCCGGATGTTCGAGAGACGCGTTACACCCCCTATCGACGGGGCTGGGCGTAATGGTAAAACACGTGGCTTTTAATCATTTTATAGTAATTACGAACGTAAGCATGCCGAGGAGAATGATTCTTGCAGCGGCGTACTCTTCGATATGACTACCATTAAAATACAATACAACGTACCGAGATGTGATTTTGTTCGAGAAACCCTGCCCAAGATTATTTCAACCCGCGTAAAATTATTATTTCACATTTGCCAAATATGAAATAGACTTCTGAGGATCTAGTTGTGGATTATTGAATCCTTCGTTGCTGTATTCTACATATACATACATATTTCTTTGCGAAATGTAAAGTGCGTTCCTCCAAGTTTATTTATTTTATCCGAGTTTTATTTATAGCTTCGGACAGTAAAAAATGTTATCGTTCAAATAATCATTAAAATAACGCTTTTATTCGCGTGCAAACAATTTCGGTGCGAATCATCCCCTCCCGAAGATGGAGGCCTAGTAAAATGTTGAATTTCATGACATCACAGGCATTGTATGTGCACTTTCACAATTCAGAAGCTCAGACGAGACCCCTAGCACATGTTCATAATCACTTTTCCCATATTCTAGTCCGAATTCGTTAGTTACAAATGATTTTCAGTTTTACGTTCCATTATTGAATTTTGGAACAAATGATTCGTGCCGCTGTTCTCATAAGGAGCTACGTCGAATCCGGCACGAATTTTCTGCTGCTTTCAAACGCGCGAACAGCGCCAATCCATGCTGCGGCAAAACGCCCAAACTGTTGAGCAACGTGACCGACAGAGATTATCTTTTACTTCCAAAATCCTGATATAGGAGGCTTTCCCAAAAAAATGGTAACAAAAACATTAATAATAGCATAATTAAAGCAAAAAGAAATTAACCAAAAGCGGATAATTGTTCAGGAAAATTTGTTGCATCGATATCATTCGAAAATCAGACGATAACAACGCAAAGCACAATTAATCAACGTAATAGTTAATCAAACTTCAAAATGCAATTAACAACGTCTTGCTGTGTTTTTATTTATTTTCCTCGTGTGATATCGATGCAGTAGAATCTCCTGAACAATCCTGGGCTCTTAGTTCATCTTCTAATGCTCGAACTTTGCCATAATTACAGATCCAGTGGCGATGTCTCTAGACTACTTAGATTTTTCAAATATTTAGCATGATCAGGCGAAACTATACAATTTTTAGATATACATTTCATGGAACGTATCGTTACGTGCATTTTGAGACCAAGAACAGCAATTTTGGACAACTAGTTTTCGAGCTATTGAATTTTTCTATTTTTGAGTTTCCTCGTTTCGCCGCTAGATGGCGCCACCGTTCACTTTTTCCGAGCCAATTTTACTATTTCGTGAATTATTTAATAATCGTGCAACTTTTACCACGATTACTTGCACAGATCGATGCAATAAACTCTAGTCGTTATTATTACATCCTCAGAATATTTTTTCTTGCTGTGTGATTTGTTTTCTCAAACTCGTGTATTTTTAACATAGCGGAGGCAATATCCTATCGTTAAGTAACACAGTTCTCAGCGATAACAAACAAAAAATTCACAACGAATCTACTAGTCAACAATGTAACAATTCTGACTGTCTAATTTATTCTTTTTCATTTATCGCGCTTTTATCATGGGACTTATGGTGAGTATAAGGAACTCGCCAGGTTGCGCTGCCATCTTCTTTTTTTTGAATTTTATACGTTAAAGAAGTATATATACATCCTATACATCCTATACATAAATGAACCAGTCGATTAGATTAGCAGCGAGAAAAGTTTTATGAGTGGAACTAAGAAAATGCAGTTACAATTGAATTTAATAGCAGCTGCCTGCGAGGGTATGGGCATCGGCGTAAACGGAGCCTTACCATGGAAACTGAAGTAAGCTAATTTAAATCAATAAGTCATTCAAACAGAATCGGTTCACACATGAATTCTCACTCACATGTTTCTCTTGCACAGAAGCGAAATGGCGTTCTTTACGACCATGACGTCGAAAACAAAAGATCCAAGCAAAAAGAACGTCGTTCTTATGGGACGCAGGACATGGGAATGCATTCCGAGCAAGTTCAGACCCTTACAGAATCGTGTAAATATGGTTCTTTCGTCGAAGCTTTCGTAATACCGATTTCTTTTTCAACATGTAAACGAAACAATCGAAGAAATAACCAGTTACTATTACAATAAATTACGCAGGGACCTTGGAAATGAGGCGATCGTATGTAAAAGTATCGCAAACGCGATGCAGATGATTTCGCAACCTCCGCTGAATGATCGCATCGAAAGTATATGGGTGATAGGAGGCAGCTCTGTGTACAAGGTACAGTTGATTCCATAAAATTGCGCAAAGATTTTTGATCAGGAAACACGTCTCTGACATTGCAGGCTGCAATGGAGTCGCCCCATTTCGGCCGATTGTACTTGACGCGAATAAAAAAGCATTTCGAGTGCGACACGTTCTTCCCGCAGATACCAAACGACATCGTCTTGACGGAGTGAGTTCAATTTAACCAATATACCAATTTCATTGTTTAGCCATCCATCGTATTGTCAATGCTTTAACGCTTTAACTGTCGCGTCACCTATATAAGGGTGACGAAATTTCGCTTAAGTTTTGAAGATTAATTTTTACGATAATCTACGATATTTTCCTAATTTTACTAGGATCCGCTAAACGTAAAAACGTTCAAGAAGTAATTGATGTTATACAACTTATCTTTTCAATTCAAATTTGATCAGATAATATGCTTCCATTTTGTACAATATTCGAAGTTGTTGCAGTCAAAGTGTTAACTAACTACTTTTACTGTTTACTGTCGTTTTCAGAGACGCGGACATTCCTCAAGGAGTCCAAGAAGAGGACGGAATACAGTTCGTCTACGAAGTATACAAGAAACTATGAACGCAGCTCGGTACGACAAGATGGCTTCAATCTTTTTTATCTCGGTGTACGAATAAATAAATCGTATTTTTCACAATAAATTTCGGCCTGTGTTTAATGCTTTATTCTCACGAGTGTGTAGTTCGAGGCAAAAAAAAAAGGGAATACAAATGCGTGAAACGTTTCACTAGTCACGCTGAAGCTCGTTAACCCGGTGGCCACTGCATCTGGCGTCCTCCAAGGACATGCAGATGCAGGTGGAAGACCGACTGCGCGCCTTGTTTTCCGTCGTTGACGACTAAACGGAAACCGTTGTCGAGGCCTTCCTGTTTCGCGACTTTACGAGCGACCAGCATCAGATGACCCAGCAATGATTCATCCTGCTCCTCGGCCTTTGAAAGCTGAACAATCGGCTTCCGTGGGATCACCAGGAAATGCACCGGCGCTTGGGCGTTGATGTCGTGAAATGCGACACACTGGCAAACATAATAAACTTCAATTTCGCATCGTTCCAGTTGACAATGCTGCAGCAAATCGTGCAGAAAATGGTCGAACAAAAATGTGTAGAAATATTCGAACAGAAACCTACAACGGCGTTAATTTTGTAGTAAAATTAATAGTAATATATTAATAGTAAAATAAATAGTAATTTTATAGTAAACAGATAACTGCTAAACCCCATGTATTATGCACAGATTGCAGATCTTTCTTCAAATTCTCGTTTCCATAAATTCTTTTACAAAAGTCTGAAGTAGGAAAAGATTTCTCACCCCCGTTAGAAAATTTCTTCCAGCGAACACAGATTAATAGTAGAATTAATTTTTGTTAATATGCAAGTTTAACTGCACTTCAAAAACTTGCATGTATCATAAATGCATAAAGATCTGAAGTTAAGTTATGCATTTGCAACGTCCACGATTTATAGCAAAGCTCGACGCAACCCCGGAATGATTATTTGACCTTATTCCCATGGAAATGCTGTTCCATCCTAGTTTCAATTCTTCTGCGATTGTATCTGCATAAAAATTCGCAATCTAGTGATTGTTATTGCGTCACGATGAGCCGGCAAATTAACCTAGTACGTGAGGCAGGAAAATTCGCAATGGCGTCGAAATGATTAAAGTTTCGCCCGGGTGGCTGATCTGTGCCGACACTTTTCATTTACCTTATCGTCCTCGTAGATGAATTTACAAGGAATCTCTTTGCGGAGTATTTTCCCAAAAATCGTGTCTTCGCCAGCAGTAGCTGTTTGTGCCTTCTCCACTTCGGTCGCCATCTTTTTCCAGCATGGAGCTGAATTTAGGCGACTGGCATTTGGGCACAGTAGCCTTTTCGACGTCGACAAGGCGAAATTTAAGAGTAGCTTCATTTCGAAGCTACCGGCTCCCGCAACTGTCACGACAATGACATCGGCGGCTAATTATGCAATTGATATCGTCTACTGAAATTTCTGATTACAAAAGTGCAGATATCTATGTACAGATGCAATGGCGTCGACGCAAAATGGCGGGTCTTTCAAACAGTAGAATCTCTGTTCTCGTAACACTGAGTTACCTTGGATTAAAATAATATTATTCCTCGTTATTTAATTAGGTCGTCGCATAAATCGTTGCCGAAATGCGTTTACATTTTTCGTAGTGTGGGGAACAAGCTAAAAAATACACGAATGCCAACGTTAGAGCAACCAAACAAGAGAGAAAAAACAAAATACTGAAATTCTTTAGAAAAATCGTTACAAAATTGAAAGTTGATGATTTAAATATATGTGTAATCTCAAAGCTCGAATTAAACAATATATGTAATAAATCCGAGGATATGGAAAATATACGGATGACGGAGTAAATATTGTTATACCTTCCGCAGTTTTTTCCTGCGAATAAAAAGCGATTCGCGACCGTTGTACGAGCTCAGTCTAAGCAAAGCATTTGAAAGTCACAGTTAGAGAAGACAAGTTTCCGACATTTTGTGCTGCAAGAGTTTCGCAACGGCAATACAGTAATCGTTGCAGCGGCACAACATTTGCTTAGGAAGAGTGGTGAGAAAGTGACTTGGTAAAGGATTGATTTCGTAAAGGAAATTTTTAATTTGAAGATCGACTCCGTAGCGGACGTCCAACTAAATTATACGACGATGCAATTCGTGCTCTAATCGGTGAAACGTGAAAGTCGGTTTCGGGAGATGCATGAAACTTTGAACATTCCAAAACGCTTTAAAGAAAACTAGAACACTAAATGGCACGTGCTCATCACATAAATTAATACATTGCTTCGTCTGCTGTCCTCGGCGTCGCCTGTAAAATTCGCTGACTCATTGTTGTCGCGAGCGCACAGAAAAAACAACACCGATATATATATGAAACTATAAAAATCTTTATTTTATTGTACACATCCTTTTGTATAGTTTTCCACATATTTACAAATTGAACACTGGGATGTTGGTATAAATATTAACAAATGTTTATACAACGTACGAAAGGTAACGTTGAGTCTGCGACCGTTTTTGATCGTTCCTATGTACGTATGGCAGTGTGCTTCCTGGTTTTTTACGCGAACGATCCTAGATGTCTCGTTCCATCAAATTCGAAACGAGTCTGATGAGGCGTCAGCAATCTTTCATAAATATAGTACGGTAGCTTCTTATCGTCTAAGCTTAATTGCATAAAATATTTAAGGCATAGGATTATAACGTCACTAATAACGGGGGTTGTGGGGCAAAGAGCCGTCGATACACAACATCGAGGTTCCATTTTAATTTAAATAAATAAGGTAACGATAACAATGAACTTAGCTAATTATGACAACTACGGGAACCCTACAGCAGTCTGAGCAGATCGGCATGAAAATTTGGCAATAAAACTAGGTGGTAGAATGAAGTCATGATTAACCGATCCTTGTTAATGAATTAAATAAGACGACAATTTCCGTGGACGACAATAATAATACGCTTTTACGCAATAACTTCCAAGCGCAAACGTAATGTTTTCTGCGCAGCATCTAGTTAGGATGGTGACGATATTGTTTGCACGAGAAATTGTATGAAGCCAAAAGGACGGTGGGGAGAGTTTGAAGAGAAGAATCACAGATCACAAGACAGGGTATAAGAATGACCAGTTCCGCGTATTATCTTGTCAAGCGAATCATTAGGAGTCTTCCTCGGATTCGAAATACCGGTGTTTCAGCGCTTGAGCCGCGGTTAGGCGACTGTGCGGATCGAAGGTGAGCAGGTACTTAATTAAATCCAAACCATCGTCGTTGAGATTTGGCACGATCTGTGACAAAGGCTCCGGTTGCCTCTGCGGAAATGCTGTCCAACTAAGGGACACGTTCTCTGGCCATTCGTCTTGCGATGGCATTCCTATTACCCTGAAAGCACAGTCGGAAAGCGATTAGACGTGTCCGCGTGTGTAATTTCCATCGGGAAAAGTCTGTGATCGACTTACCGGAAAATTCTGTCAAGCTGGTCCCCTTCGCTCGTGCCGGGGAACAGGGGCTGCAAACGACTCAATTCGGCAAGGATGCATCCCACTGACCACATGTCCACGGGCGTCGCATAAGAACAGCCAAGAAGTACTTCTGGTGCTCGGTACCACTGCGTCACAACCTGGAAATCACGAATTCGTTTATAGATTCGATCGCTTGTCTTCAGAAATATCTCGCAAGAGATATCCACGCGAAGTATTAACGTACCACGGAAGTCAACCTCATCTCGAAGTCGTAGGTCTTTGCCAGTCCAAAATCTGCGATCTTTATTCTGCCTTCTTTAGACACGAGCAGATTTTGCGGTTTCAAGTCCCTATGTATGATCCTGTGGCTGTGTAAAAATTCGACGCCCCTGAGGATCTCCTGTGACATCCGCTTCACGAGCTCTGCCGGGATACCTGTACGCGAGCATGCGGACATGTACGATTCCAAATCTCTTTCCACATGCTCGAAGACCAGCCACAAAGTGAGACCTCGGTCCAGCTTCTCAGATATGCCGTCCGCCGAGGGCAAGTGCAGGTAATTCCCTTGACACACGTCCAATAGTCTCACCTGCGACCACGAGACACATTGCGATCGGAATCGACCGAGATACATACTGAGTAAGAAGAGGCCGGGGGCGAGGATTTAGATCGAGAAGAGAAAAGGAGTACAAAAGGGAATGTGATGTACAAAAGGGAGATCAGCTGCAGAGCAAAGAGCAACGTTACGAGACGCGCATGATAGATGGCGCAAGAAGACAGCGACAATGTTGTAACGCAGGGTTCACCAGAACAGGAAGAAGACGAGGGTGTAGATCAAGAAGACGGAAAGGAGATAAGTAGGAGTACTAAGATGAAATAGTGTCTCACGATGCATGAATGATAAATGGCTCGGGAAGGCAGCACCAGCATGGCTGCTCAAGGATCTCTGACTAAGAGGCAGAAGAGGATCAAGGGCCAAGAAATGTGGCTATTCAATGCAGAAGAAGAAGAACAAAACGAAGAAGAAGACCAAGAAGAAGAAGAACGAGACGAAGAAGAAGAAGAAGACTGAGGCGAAGCAGCAGCAGAAGGATGGATCATGAAGAGAGAACAAGATAATGAAGAATGTCTCACAATGTGCGGATGCTCGAATCGCTCCAGCTGTTTCAACGTTGCGATCTCCCGCAACGTTGACGAGGGCAATCCATCCTCGGTGAGAGGCACCCTGACTTTCTTCAAGGCGACAACCTGACCGGTGTTCAGGTCTTTGGCCTTGTAAACGGTGCCATAGGCTCCGTTCCCGATCAGTGAGAGCTCCTGGTAAAAAGCATCTTCCCCCAGCAGCGAAGTCTGAATTTGCATGTTACAGTCCGTTTCAGACTTCCTGACGGAGGCGTTAACATGCTCATGCTGACCGCACTTCATTTGCACGATGGCCTCGAAGCTGCCGAAATGTCCATCTGTCGATGTTCCAGCCGTCGCCTTCACGGGTCTGTCCAAGCTAGTCTGGATCAGCTGCTTCGTACCATCCAGCGATTCCTCGGAGATCTCAAATGTCCCCGCAAGACCTCCGGGTATTAGCTCGATGGTATTGTCAGGCGTGGATGCGACCACTGAGCAGGCTAGCGTTTCAACGCTCTCAAGATCCCCCGTGCTCAGTGCCGTATCATTCGCGTTGCCAGGCAGCTCGGAGTACTTGGTCTTCTTTGGTGGCGTCGGCGAAGACAGATCGGGTCCAAGCTCGGAGCTTGAACGTCTAGATGTCCCGGCCATCATAACAACATCTCAGCTTCTACCTGAAACGAAAACGACTACGTCCAGTTCCTCCGCCATATTTTCCTACATTAGCCGACGTGCTATGCTCGCACGAGCCGGAGCAATCGAAGACCTTCGGCTGCAGGCTCTCAAGGTTTATTGTTAGACGCTTTCACTGAACGGTGAATGCCAGGTTTTGGAAATGCTCGACTCGAAGCTTTAGATTCCAGGTTCTAAAGTTTTATGTTCTAGACACCGAGGTCTTCGATTGCCGATATTCACAGGGGATGATCGCCACAACTCGGAAATGACAAAAAACTCTGAAACTCCCGAGATTTAGCCGAATATTCGGGGAATTAATTTCTGCCGTTTAAAGTGAATTTCCGCAGAGAGAAAAAAACGTCGTGACACCACATGTGTAAGTATGTTACACGTGCCAGAAAAGTTTCAGAATTTTTTGAATTTCCAGGTTGAGGATCTCGAGATTTCTTATCCCTTTCGCTGTGCTTGATCGTTCGAATATCGAAAAGTTTTGATTCCAGAGAAGCGGAATGAATGGAAGCGGAATTTTTCTGCGGGTCGTATCAGAGTTTACGGTCGGAAACTATGATCCAGATTCCAGGGTGATCGCGCCGAACTGATCGAACGATTTCAGAGTTAATGCGCCGGTCGAAAGAAGCGATCGCGACGACCGGAATATGGGTGAGACCTGGGCTTTCATTAAATTTTACGCGCGCGATTCCGCCGCGCCGTCTGCTACGCGACATCTGCACCGACACCTGCGTCCGTATAATAGCGCTGCCTCATCGTCGTCGACTTCCCGGAACATCTTGTAAATGCAAGAACGGCCCCATTGTACAGGCTTAACGGGGTCCTTGCCCTTTGTTTTCTCCGGCACGGAACTGACCGACGTCGGCACACCCGAAAATTGTATCATCACCTGCCCGACCTCGGCGCGGAAATTTTCCGGCGCCGTAAAACGCACAGCACGATTTTACCAAACTACGATACTCGAGATTCTTCGTTGAACTATTTATTCTGTGATGTAAACGATTTTTAATTCACTAAAAGCGCAAATTACGAGTCTCGTCAGCAAACATTTTCTGTGCCGAACTCGAAATCGACCAGCGACCTTTAATGTTCGAAAACATGAAATTGTATCACCATTGTTATAACTAATTTTTATAAAATAAACTATGTTAAAAAGGAGCTTGAATGGTTTGCAAGTTTTGTTCGCAATAATTTCGATTAAGTTTAGAATCTTTCCCGCACAGTATAGCCTTCGATTTTTATTTAATATCAGCACTGATTTACCAATCTGTTCTATCTCAAATATATATTTAATAAAACAGAAAATTAACTTTTTTACACGCGCGCACGTTTCTTAGAAAATAAATCTTAAGACAATAGATCAACAGCAGAAAATCGAGCGCAAAAATTCCTACAAAAATCGAAGTAATTGAATTAACGAAATTGAAACGGTAAAGTTAAAATTGAACGTGTTAGCTATTATTTTATCGCTTTTTCTATTCCGAACGTCCTAGGAAAATCCAGTATATTCGAATGTATCACAAACAGTAAGGAAACGAATTTTTTTTACCGTGCGGCAAAGGAAGTGCTCGCGGAACGGAGTGCAACGATTCTCGAAAATTCTTGAAGATCGTCAGGGTAGCTTCCATTCGTGTTTCCCGAGGCGGTCGACTCCGGAACCGAGACGAATTATAACGCGATCATGGTAACTTCGTGGACGTGGATTCCGTGGACTGCGGCCGAAAAACTCGCGCGTTGCCCTAATATGCATCGTTAGAGTTAACGGTTACAGCGGTCGAAGGTGAGGCAATGACGGGCCAACGAACCGTCTGTGTACACACGATGGGGAAACGTTACACGCTGCCGCCGAAAACAAAGTTAAATCAAGGAGTCGTCGATAATATCGCCGCCGCGATATTACAACGCAGCCGTGTTACAATATTGTAACAGCGGCGGCGGCGGCGAGATACGAGGAAGACCTCGTTCCCGTTCGGTGAGGCACGAGGACCGAAGGGACGCGAATAGGCGAGCCACGTGGTCCCCGAATGTTTGCATAGGCCAACGAGGGAGGGTGTAATAAAACAAGCACGGTTATCGGCCCGGGATTTGCAGGGTTTATCGCCGGGCCGTGCATTCCGCCGTCGATTTTCCACGGTCGAGTTATACTTTTTATCGCGCTCGGCGCCCGCGTTCACTTCAATGAACCTTCATTTGTACAACGATAGCGGCGCCCCGGTTCCTCCGACTTTTTCTCCACGGTTCCACGCTCCCAAAAAAGCCGTCATCGTCGCGACAAATAACCGTCACCGACGCCGCGCGTCATCGTCGAGGAGGAAGCCGACTCTTTGATTAAATTCTTTTATCAACTTCCCTTTGCGATAAGCTCGACCGAAAAAAAAGAACGAAGAAAGAGAAAACGAACGGAGGAGAGCGTTACATCACGCGAAACGGTCTCGAAGTAAAATCAACTCCTCTCAGCAACTTCGTGCCTTCGCGAAAGAACCGCTTCTCGGAAGGATCTCTGTCCTCTCGTCCGCGGCGCGGTATCTCGGCGGGACAAACGCCGGGGGAAATCTGTGTTCCGCGAAGGGAAAGGTGAGACCTCAGCCTTGAACTTCTGCGGGGAATGGAGCTAAACTCCGGGAATCGAGGAAAAATTGGTGCCCGTTAGATAAGGTCGCTCGGGCCGATCGCCGATAAGAAACCCGGCAGCAGAAAGAAGAACGAACGATCCGATCCTATCGTGTAGATAAATATCGGAGCCGTTGGCCGAAGACTTTTCGAGTAATTTTCCGGAACACTGTTGCTCAACGCCGCGGCGACGCGGCCGCCCCGTTGTTGCCGTTGTTTACGAGCTATGTGGCACGGAACGATAATGGCTCCCAAATGCGTCAATCAACCGGCGACCGGATCGCAGCTTAATCGTGCCCGTTAGAACGCGGCACAAGTCCGGTCGCGTATGAATGAACCGATTCTCGCAGACGAGACCGTCCCACTTTTATCAACCGTTGCCGTTAGTTCCTCGAACGGCGTAGGATCGCGAACCTGTTGTACAGGCTGTCCCAAAAATGTCTCGCAATCCGGAAATGGCGGCTTCCTCGGATCATTTGAAGCAGCTTCTTCCTTTACAAAAATGTTCTCCGAGGCACCGTTAACGAGTTATTAACGAAAAACCAGTGACCAATAAGAATCGAGTACGGCTGACGCGAGGCGGCCCAGCCAACCAGCGCACGAAGCCCAGTTCCGCTCATCGACTCGGTCGCCTCGCGCCAGCCGAGCTCGCCTCTCATTGGTCACTGTTTTTCGTTAATAACTCGTCAACGGTGCCTCGGAGAACATTTCTGTAAAGGAAAAAGTTGCTTCGAACGACCTGAGGAACCCGCCACTTTCGGATTGCGAGACATTTTTGGGACACTATACTCGGCAGGCTGAGAGACACGTTTCAGAGTATCAACGGAGGCGCTTTCAAGCCGTTGGGAAAGCGCTATCGCGGGATCGAGGTCGAAGGATCGTGGGAGGCTTCGACGCGCTCGTGAGATCGAACGATCCGAGGGGCGACGTCCGGCGAGTTTCGGGGGCGAAAACGGAAACGATCGGGGAATTGGAAATTAGACGGGGGGTCAGGAAACGGCGCGACCGTCTCGGTTTAGGCAGGAAGCAGCAGCGCACTCGTAGACGAGCCAGTGTAAACAAGGAGGCGCCAGTGGATTTCGGATTATTCATGGGGTTGACACACGGCTATCTGGTCGAGGTCTTTCACACGCGAGACGGAACACTTACGCTCGGCCCTCCCCATTCACCTCCGCCTGAACTGTGTGAAACCGTGCCGAAGGTCTCCGACGAAACACGCGAGAGAGAAGTTATACACGCGGCGGGTTCACGATCGATCTGGAATTTACGACTGGCGTCGCGATGAATGGAGACCGGTTCCGGTCTTCGGCCACGGCACCGAGCCGCCACCGTCTCGCGGAAAACGCGCCGGCCGATTACTCGATGGAGCATGGACGCGATTATTGATTTATCTTGTCGCGGTGACTAATCGACTGGCCGTCCCGTCCGTTCCACGCATGGCCATTCGAAAGTTTCGCGTGGCCAGCGCGACAAAACATCTCCGCGCTCTTCGTTCGCGAGGCCCCGTCGACGTGGTGTCCCTTCTCCCAACTAGAAGATCACGATTTTCAACCTAAACGGGGACACGCGCGTGCACGGAGAATACGCGCGAGAACTATCGTAACAGCGAAAAGGAAACGTATTATTTTATCAGAAATTTTAGTTACCTTAGTTTCGTTCGCAGTAAAACAAACTGCTAATTCATTAAAAATTGTATTAAAAATCGATGAAAATATTGTATCAATGCTTCGACTGCCGTGCCAACGTCTTCAAAAATTTCGTAAAATTCAAGTTATTTCGTCAAGTTAATATTTGTAAAGTTACTCGAGTCGCGCGATTATATAATCGTGTGTAACAATATATAGATATTTACAATATTTGCTACTGTGTAATTCAATGTAGCGACCAGTGACACACATTTCGATGTACACGTGCGCGAGACGAGTGTCTCTGCGCCGAACTCGTTGACGGACCCTTCTCTCAATCTCAATTTCCCACGAAACTACGATGAGGCCACACAATTATGGTGCAGGAAACGAGATNCCCAAAAATGTCTCGCAATCCGGAAATGGCGGCTTCCTCGGATCATTTGAAGCAGCTTCTTCCTTTACAAAAATGTTCTCCGAGGCACCGTTAACGAGTTATTAACGAAAAACCAGTGACCAATAAGAATCGAGTACGGCTGACGCGAGGCGGCCCAGCCAACCAGCGCACGAAGCCCAGTTCCGCTCATCGACTCGGTCGCCTCGCGCCAGCCGAGCTCGCCTCTCATTGGTCACTGTTTTTCGTTAATAACTCGTCAACGGTGCCTCGGAGAACATTTCTGTAAAGGAAAAAGTTGCTTCGAACGACCTGAGGAACCCGCCACTTTCGGATTGCGAGACATTTTTGGGACACTATACTCGGCAGGCTGAGAGACACGTTTCAGAGTATCAACGGAGGCGCTTTCAAGCCGTTGGGAAAGCGCTATCGCGGGATCGAGGTCGAAGGATCGTGGGAGGCTTCGACGCGCTCGTGAGATCGAACGATCCGAGGGGCGACGTCCGGCGAGTTTCGGGGGCGAAAACGGAAACGATCGGGGAATTGGAAATTAGACGGGGGGTCAGGAAACGGCGCGACCGTCTCGGTTTAGGCAGGAAGCAGCAGCGCACTCGTAGACGAGCCAGTGTAAACAAGGAGGCGCCAGTGGATTTCGGATTATTCATGGGGTTGACACACGGCTATCTGGTCGAGGTCTTTCACACGCGAGACGGAACACTTACGCTCGGCCCTCCCCATTCACCTCCGCCTGAACTGTGTGAAACCGTGCCGAAGGTCTCCGACGAAACACGCGAGAGAGAAGTTATACACGCGGCGGGTTCACGATCGATCTGGAATTTACGACTGGCGTCGCGATGAATGGAGACCGGTTCCGGTCTTCGGCCACGGCACCGAGCCGCCACCGTCTCGCGGAAAACGCGCCGGCCGATTACTCGATGGAGCATGGACGCGATTATTGATTTATCTTGTCGCGGTGACTAATCGACTGGCCGTCCCGTCCGTTCCACGCATGGCCATTCGAAAGTTTCGCGTGGCCAGCGCGACAAAACATCTCCGCGCTCTTCGTTCGCGAGGCCCCGTCGACGTGGTGTCCCTTCTCCCAACTAGAAGATCACGATTTTCAACCTAAACGGGGACACGCGCGTGCACGGAGAATACGCGCGAGAACTATCGTAACAGCGAAAAGGAAACGTATTATTTTATCAGAAATTTTAGTTACCTTAGTTTCGTTCGCAGTAAAACAAACTGCTAATTCATTAAAAATTGTATTAAAAATCGATGAAAATATTGTATCAATGCTTCGACTGCCGTGCCAACGTCTTCAAAAATTTCGTAAAATTCAAGTTATTTCGTCAAGTTAATATTTGTAAAGTTACTCGAGTCGCGCGATTATATAATCGTGTGTAACAATATATAGATATTTACAATATTTGCTACTGTGTAATTCAATGTAGCGACCAGTGACACACATTTCGATGTACACGTGCGCGAGACGAGTGTCTCTGCGCCGAACTCGTTGACGGACCCTTCTCTCAATCTCAATTTCCCACGAAACTACGATGAGGCCACACAATTATGGTGCAGGAAACGAGATCCTCGAGCACTGCGGGTTGCTCTTGAAAGCAACGGTTTATAGCAAGAGCCTAAAGTAACAAAGTCTGGGCCCGTTACTCTCGATTTTAAGATAAAAGATCGTGTTTGCTTTATGGAGAGTGTTCCGAATGGGTCTGAAAGAAGCTAAACTAATTTGAATTTTGTCGGAGCCCTAATGGAAGTTGCGTCCCCGCCTAAAGCGCGTCTCGAGTAGGCGTGGTTTTCGTTTCCCATGGTGCCCCACGGGACAATTTGTCAATGTACTCGACCCGGAACGGTCTAGAACAGGCTGAGACCCTTCAAATCTCGAAGCAGCGGAAGACAATCCAAGCATTGGATTGTCTAGAAAAATAATTTCAATTCTTTTGGTAACCTACCCATTCGGAAAAGCGAAATTACTATTGCTACAGTCCAATACTTCGTATTTTCTTGTAACCTATCTATTTTTAAAATTGAAATTACTTATTCAATAAGGCTGAACCTTTTCAAATCTCAAAGCAGCGGAAGACAATCCAAGCATTGGATTGTCTAGAAAAATAATTTCAATTCTTTTGGTAACCTACCCATTCGAAAAAGCGAAGTTACTATTGCTACAGTCCAATACTTTGTATTCTCTTGTGACCTATCTATTCGTAAAACCGAAATTACTTATTCAATAAGGCTAAGCCTTTTCAAATCACGAAGCAGCGTAAGACAATCCAAGCATTGGATTGTCTAGAAAAATAATTTCGGTTCTTTTGGCAACCTACCCATTCGAAAAAGCGGAATTACTATTGCAACAGTCCAATACTTTGTATTCTCTCGTAACCTATCTATTCGTAAAACCGAAATTACTTATTCAACAACCGAATACATTCTCGAAAGCGACTGAGCTAGATAGTTAGCGAGAAATCGTAATTCGACGCCCCGTTTGATTTCGAGGTATCACGTGTCCGACCACGTGGCCGCTGACGACGTTTCCTCCGCGCACGGTTCGTAAACAAGAAAAAGAGCGAGAGGCGCGGGGGGATCCACCCCCGCCAGTGGCGGACCCTTGTCTTATCTTCGCGTGCCGCGACATTCCAGGTTCTCACGTTCCGCGAGATACGCTACCGTTACGTGACCGGCGTTCTCACGACCGAAAATCCCCGGGGGTCCAACGGGGCACGACAAAAATATCCCCGGAGGTCGCCAAAAACGGGGCCCTACAAAAATTCTTCCAACTTTCTTTAACGATCGACGGATGACCGAAGATCGACGTGAACTAAAGAGTCCCACGCGTTCGGGATCTAGAAAACCTTGGACTTCTTCTAGTTATCTGTTCGCCAGGGGAAACGAGCAACAAGTGTCGCGAATCCTCGGTGCAGGGGCTGGATTCGCGGGTTAGTATCCTACGGAGGAGACAATGACGAGGAGAAAGAGGGGGATGACGGAGGACGCGCGTTTGTAAGGAAGCGAGCGAGCGAGCGAACGTGCGAGCGAACGTGCGAGCTCGCTCGAGTGATACTCGTTTCGAAGCTGGTTCGTCCCGAGAGATACGTACTGGTCCGACGAGAGTCTGGTCTGTTTGACTTACCCAGCAGGCTAGGTGCTGACCTCCCACGAGAGAAGATCGGAGGCGATGAGTAGCCGGACGGAGGCAGCAGTCAGCGATGCGCCAGGGAACAAAAACAGAAGCGGCTGGTAGGCACTCCACGTGCCGGAAACGGTGTCCCCGTCGGGGTTCTCGTTGGCCCAGGAGAGGCGTCGCAAGAAGCGTCTTTGTCACAGAATGATCGCGATCACGATCACGATCTCGAGCACGCGGCCGACTGGCTACGCAGCCAGTGGCGGCGGAAAAGAGAGAGCGACGGGTGTACGCGGGCGACCACTCGCGAGCGTAACCCAACGGCGACTCAACGAATCGTTGTGCAGCCGAACAAGCAAACGTGCCGCTCGAAAACACGCTGGTAAGCGGACTACACTGTGGACCGGCTTGAAAACTACTGACACGAAGCGGACGCGTATACGGGTAGAATCAGTCGCTGCCGAACCGAACGCAGGCAACTGGCACGGTCTGACTGGCTCTCGAGGGGAGAGTTCGATCGAGTCGAGTTCTCGTAGACCACTACAGACAGCTGCCACTGGCCCTTCCAACAAGCTTCTGATGCTTCTGCTTCGGCTTCGGCTTCTGCTTCCGCTTCTACCTCCACCTCGCCGCGATCGGCTTTTAAGTATGCTACATGGAGGTAGAGGGGGAAGACCCGACCCGACCCGACCCGACACGACTCGACCCGACTAGACGCGTCGGGACGCCGCGGGACGCCGCGGGTCGCATCCGCGGCAAGCCGCGGCGTCCACGATTTCTCCACTGGCAACGGACGTCGATCGTCCAGGGTTTATACCGTCTCGCCGGGACTCGACGAACATTTTCGGATGACTACAAATGTTCCCGGAAATACGGCACGATAGTAATACTACGTGGACCGTGATTCACGACGTCGTACTCACGCCGATTCTCTTATGAAGGCGATTCACGGAGTCGGAGTGATTTGTCAATTCCGAGGATTATTCTGCTGGCGTGTCGGCTGTATGAATGAATCAGAGTCAGTGTGAGGCGTGAGTCCCATTTTCGAAAAAAATTTCGCTCGTGTCTTAAAATGTAATCTGAATAAGTACAGTAAATTCTTCCCAGTTGACGCTTAGATTGTGCACAGAAATAGACAATTTGGGAAGAGGAGAAACCTCGATGCACATGGCCCGTCGAGGGTGGAGGGTTCTTTGTGTTCGCCGGCCGGCCGTTAAATTATTGAAACCGTTCTGCCTGCACGACCATGTTCCGGAAAACCCTCCGATAAACCTGAGCTCGTCCCATGCTAACAAAAAAGGGACGAAGGGACAATAGAGGACCCGCCGGAAAACGAACGATGAAGAAGGATCGTGGGCCGCCGACATCTTGACGCCAGCTTTCTAAAATAAATCCCTGAAGTGCCGAATGTTTCATTTGGTAAATCTTTAGAATTTAGAAAGTTAGATAGGGTGGACTTGGCTTTATCTGGCGAATGTTTATAATTAGATAAGTTAGATAGGATAGACGATGTTAAGTTATGGTTAATTTAGAACAATGATATTGTTATACTTTAACATTTAGTGGAAAACGAATGGAGGATTGTGGGGCGTAGAGACGATATCGGCAGTATTCTAAAATGAATCTCCCATGTACCCATTGTTTATAATTAGATATTATTATAATTAGATAAGTTATAGTTAATGTTCAAATTGTAAGCGAAGTACATTGACCCGGCATGATCGCCGTGATGTGTGTATATGGCTATATGTGTCGAGCGCCTAAAAGTAACGAACTTGTACCTTGCCCGTGACAAGGACGTTATCGTTTCAAATGAAACACATACGAAATATAAACGAACAGTCGACAGTCGACAGTCGACAGTCGATTATATTACGTAACAGACTCCTTTGATTTTCGCATCCTTTCGGTCATTCTTACTGGATCAAATTGGAACAATAATATTGTTACGCTT